TCTCTCTCTCTCTCTCTCTCTCTCTCTCTCTCTCGATTAATTAACCGATTGAATCTATGTTGAAAAATGATGTTGATAGATTTAATACTGACCAATTAGTCGCTTATTACGATGGACTCGACAGAAGAACCCTTAGGGTCAGAAACAATGTTATAAAAATACAGATCCATGAGCTCTGGGATACAGAGACTCTCGATTATGATTACTGTGTGCTAACACTGCAGGACGATATCGTTCAGTCACCCACCGTTCAGACCATAGAGTTGGCCACCAGTGCTCCAACACAGGGTACTACAGCTCAACTGACCGGTTGGGGTAGGACATCGGGCACATCTAGCACTATACCCTATTTACTACAGTACACCATCATGGACATTGTTTCCTGGGAAGTGTGTAATAATATATGGGAACCGACGGGTCAGACGGTTACAGACCGTATGATTTGCGCGTCAAACCCGTCAGCCGGTGGTTGTAGTGTAAGTACTACAATCTATCTATCTATCTAATTTAAGTTGCAATTTGCAAATAGGGTGATACCGGTGGTCCCTTAGTAGCTGATGGTAGATTGGTAGGTATTTTGTCTTGGAATGGTAAAAAGTGTCCGGCAAACACTGTTGAGTGGCCCAACTGGTACTCCGATGTGGCCAATCAATGGCAATGGCTCAGCGATCATATCACTAAATAATCACAATCTTTTATGATTTGTTAATTGTTTATCCAAATGTATTTTTCCTATGTAAACATAGTTGTATAAACAAAATTATTGTTATTTTTAAATAAAAATAGTACACTTGGGAAATTCACTTAATTAATTTTTATTTAGAGATAAACCTCGTATTAATAATGTGTATTTGATAATTTTAGATATTCTAAAATGCCATAACACTAACAATTGTAATCTATTTACAAAATACTTGAACTTTTAAGTTAATGTATTAATAACACAAAAACATATTCAAAACAGATGGTTAAACATTTGGATATTTGGTCAATAATAAACTATTATTTAATGCAATTTATTGAACATAAATCATAATAAAATTTTTACAATGTTAAAGTTTTAAGCATTTTAAATATATTTATATAATCCGCTCGGTCAACCACGCTCGCTGATTGGCCACATCGGCGTAACCGCTCGGGTGGCCAGTCGTATCAGGTCTACAATCACTCATTGTCCATGATACAATACCGGCCAGTTGACCTGCAACCACCAAAGGTCCACCTGAGTCACCCTGATCATTTAAATTAAAAACAATTAAATTTAATTGAACATGATTTCAACACATGGATACATACCCCACACACGCTGGCGGTCTTGTGCTCAGTGCACAGCATACGAGGTGTCACCTCCATTATGGTCCCGTACCGGGTGTTACAGTCGTTGTAGTCAACAATAGCCAACCTCTGATACTGTAGAGGTATCGGGAGTTGACTGTTGCCCGCCGTACGGCCCCAACCGGTCAGGTCGGCCGGTAAGCCCGCGGTGGGTGTAGCGGTGGTTAACTCAATGGTTTTGATGGTCTCAGTTTGTTGGATATCCTGTTTCAGATTGAGCACGGCGTAATCGTAGTCGAATTGGCTTGGTACGTTCCACTGATCGTGGTATTTTATTTCATCAATCTCGTTGTTTACGGCCAGTTGTTCCCGGTTTAGACCACCGTACCATACTTTCAATTCAGCCGGTTGGTAGCTATAATTTAATTCACAATGATTGTTTTAACTTGATTGACTTATAATATTGAATGTATAAAATGATTAACTTATTGTATGGATTTAGTTTGCAGTTTGTTTGTTGAATTGCTAATTAAACTAGGTAAAATAGGTTAAAATAGTAAACATTATGAATTACAATTAACATAATTAAAACTTTAATGTAAATAAGTAACTGGAAGTATAAATAAAAACAAAATAAATATTTCTTTAGGTAAAGTTTAAACAAAACATTTAACTTAAAAGTATTATAATTTAAAATACAAACTATATGATAATAATAATGAACATACGTGTCGACACAGTGGGCAGCGGTGACTACCGAGCGTTTGCCCGCCAGAGAACCGCCACAATTATGACTCCACCCGAACCAGCCGTTCACCTGAATGGACACCTGCCACGGGGCCTGACCCGCCTGAGCGTCCTCACCGCCCACTACCCGACCGCCGGCCAAACGTACCGCCAGTTACTTATTTTACAAATATGACTCCACCCGAACCAGCCGTTCACCTGAATGGACACCTGCCACGGGGCCTGACCCGCCTGAGCGTCCTCACCGCCCACTACCCGACCGCCGGCCAAACGTACCGCCAGTTTGGTCTCCAACGACGCCCCCAACGCTCCGGCCAGACATATGGCTAGTATTATGGCTGATAACCACTGCATGACTTGTTATCGAGGGTTTAGTGTACAGTAAAAATGTTAGTAAATTATTGTTTTGTGTTCAATATTTATATAATTTTTTTGTTGCTGTTTTGTGCCGAGAAATACATGTGATATTACTGTATGCTATAAAGTTATAAACTTTTTATCTACATTTTAATTTAATTATTGCTGGGGCTATCATTATTATAAAATAGTACTGGTAGAAAAAATAAGTTAAAATAGATCCTGTTTAATATCTAAATTATCAATCTAAATTAATTTATTATTAAGGAACACTTATGAGCTTTAATGCTTTAATAACCTTTCTAACCTTGTTATTTTTAGTTCAATTATTTTAAAAATTATTACATTATTTGAGAGAATATGAGAAATACCATATTAAGCACAGGTAAACCTAAAGGTAACTGTAATTTATTTTCAGTGATAATTTATAATCATTAAATAGTAATTTAAAAAACAAACAAATTAAAACGTCATGATCAAAAATTTAAAAAAATTTATTGCAAAATTATAAGTAAACTAAATAAAGTTGTACATAGAATGGTAATCATGGTACATCAATTATTAGTTTTGATATCGATTGAAGCTAACATTAGCGGCCAGATGTCCGCCGTCTGCGACCAGACTCGAGCCCGTTATGAATGAAGAGTCGTCTGAAGCCAAATACAGGACCGCATTAGCGATGTCTGAGCCCTCGCCGTACCGACCAATTGGGTAGAGTCGGGCGTATGTATCGTAAAACTGGTCGGAGTCGGTCTGAGACACGCCAGTGTTCAATGAAAAGTTTGTTTTAACAGCACCGGGACTTTATATGTAATAAATATAGATATTGTAAAAAGGTAAATTAATTGTGCATATATCATTTAAATGTTTACCTAACGCTATTAACGCGTATGCCTTTGGGTCCCAACTCCGAGGCCATGCATTTGGTAAACATATCCAGCGCTGACTTTGACATACAATACGGTGAGTATTGAGGCGCCTATTAATGTAATTAATTTTAATTAAATATATTTGATTACAAAAAAATTATTAATTTTAAGTACCGTTTGAACGCTTCTAATGCTGGAAATATTAATTATATTTCCTTTAGTTTTCTCCAAATGTTTGACACAAATATGGGTTAAGAAGACAACGGAATCCAAGTCTGTCTTAAATACTTGTCGGTAGTTATCCATGAAATCAGTGGCAGTGATGTCTGCCTTTAGAGCTGATCCCGCGTTATTCACCATAACATCTATTTTGCCGAAAGTAGTGATAGTTGTGTCGACTAGTCGCTGAAGATCTTCATCTCTGGTCACGTCTGCCACCACTTCCAGCGCTTTCAAGCCATCGGGCGATACGTCGAGACACTGTTTGGCCACTTCTGACACTCGCCCGGCGTTACGACCCGTCACCACAACATTGGCTCCCGATTTGGCAAACAGTAAGGCTATGGCCGCACCGATACCCGAACTCGACCCAGTGATCAGGGCCACTTTACCGGCAAAATTATAAGTGATGGACATTTTTGTTGATTTGATTGCAGTGTTAAATATCTGATACCAGCGTTTATATGTAAATGTATTATAAATGCACTAATACTAAACTAATGAAGGACTTTTATACAGTAGATGACTTTCACAAACAATTAATTGGTGTTAACTCAGCAATATTATGTATAAATTAATATTATTAATAAAGAATTAATAAGTTTCATTTATTAATTAACTTATATAATAAACAGTAGTAGTAATTGTTGTTATATACAGTATATTTAACTATATATTTTTATAACTAGACTAAATACACAATAAAAGTGTACAGTATATCTATTCACATACAGTATAGAAATTAATCTGATAGATAAATTGTACACATGTAGTCAAAGGTGATTAGCACACAGTGTAACATAAATGTCCCACACTGTCAGTGTTTATACGCAAAACATACACTGTATTCATGTGTTTTCATGTAATTGCATGATCTGCATTTTATTCAGAATATTCTAGGGTAGTTCATATACAACGTTGCTTTAATGATAGATCCACACATCCCCCACTAAATTAATAATTACAATTGATATCATGGTGTTTTAATAAATAGTTACCATGACAACATAATAAATTTGCTATATAATTAAATTTCTGTTTTATTGAAATAAATATTGTATTTTTATTTGTAATAGATTTCTTTAGATTTAAACCATAAACATAAACACTGCTCACAAATACACACTCAATATCTATAAACTTTACACACTTTCACAGAATATATTAAACATAAAATATGGGCCATAATTGACCAAAAGTGACCCAAAAGCACACTATTTAAGTCCCACTCTATACCAAACATACAAGCAGTCAATACAGAATATGCCATTATGTTTAACGCTATTTATGTTATTTTAGTAAATTGTAACTTTTTATAAATTGTATTTTTTTAATTAAAATAAAATAAAAATTTATTAAAACTCCAAAATAAAGTTTTTACTTTACATATTAATATATAAAGTTACTTATATAAGTAAACATTTAAAAAAATTATAATTATGATTATACAAAGTGTTCATAAAATAACAAAATTATACCTCAATTAATTACTAACTAAAACTAATTCATAATGTTTATTTTTTAAGGTTAGCTGGATTAAATGCCACATTGGCTGCCAGGTGTCCGCCGTCGGCCAACAGTGTCGTACCGGTCATAAAGGATGACTCGTCAGTAGCCAAAAACACGATGGCGTGCGCGATGTCCTGCGCCAACCCATACCGACCCACGGGGTAAAGTTGGCCGTACATGTCGTAGAAAGTCTGGGCTATTTCATCGGATAGACCGGCTGCTTGAGGTAAATTAGTTTTGACAGCACCCGGGCTATAAATGATAATAAAATAAAGCAATTATAGTTAGTTTATGCAAATAACGGTGAATTAGTTAAATGTTGTGCACATACTTAACATTGTTTACACGTATGCCTTTGGGTCCCAACTCTGCGGCCATGCATTTGGTAAACATATCCAGCGCTGACTTTGACATACAATACGCTGAATAATTTGGTGCCTATTTGTTAATTAAAAATATGATCCTTAATTGTTATAATTAAATTTACTTAATTCATATGTTATCATAATTTAAACATACCGTTTGAAAGCTACGAACGCTTGAAATATTAATAATATTTCCCTTTGTTTTTTCCAAATGGTTTACACATAAATGGCTTAACATTACACTTGAATCCAGATTTGTCTTTAAAGTTTGTCGGAAACCATTAATGTAATTATTATCGCTGAGACCCGCGCCTCCCGCCACCGCTCCGGCGTTATTGACCAAAATATCTATTTTGCCAAAAGTCTTGATAGTTGTGTCCACCAGTCGTTGAAGATCCTCATCTCTGGTCACGTCTGCCACCACTTCTAGTGCTTTCAAGCCCTTGGGTGACACTTCCCGACACTGTTTGGCCACTTCTGACACTCGCCCGGCGTTACGACCGGTGATCACAACATTGGCTCCCGATTTGGCAAACAGTATGGCTGTGGCCGCACCGATGCCCGAACTCGACCCAGTGATCAGGGCCACTTTACCAGCAAAATTATATGTGACAGACATTTTGCTTTATACTGATTCAAACTATTAATTCAATATAACTTGTGTCTGTAATAATGATTATATTAGTATTCATGTATGTTTTCAATTCGTTTATAAAAGCTAAGGGATGTAATAGCTTTAGTACAGTGCTATGGTATGTACTATAGTAAAACGAAAACTAAACTCTTGAAGGTCTTTTTTATATTAGCGTATTTACTACAGTAATGCTGCATAATACATAATATTATTATGCTTACTTATAAAGTCCTTCAGTAATGCACCTAGATTTTTAGATCCATTTATTAAGTTGGATTGCAAATTACTTTGTAATATGATATATTTATTTTATATTTGCTGTTTATTTTCTTACTTACTTTTAATAAGTAATTGATTATAAATAGTAATTAAAATTAAACTAAAGTTATAATACAGAATGTAAATAGTATTTATAGATGTAAGTAATTAGTTGTAAATGTTGTACCGGTACTAATTTTAGCATCTTAATATTAAACATTAATTGTGTTATCATTAATGATATGAACTATAATTTATATTAAATTTTATAAATAAGTTTTATTGTAAAACTCACCTTAATGTCCCTGAAATCTGATAAAATTCATCTATCTATAATATTAACAATGCTGATAGACTCACAAGCATCAATAACTTAATAAGGTAACATAAAAATCCTTGAAAATTAACACTCAAAATAAAATTGTTGGAGTCAACCTACAGCAATCATGTTATTTTTGTAGTCAATTTTATACATGTAATTTAAATTACTTAATAAATGAAGCGTAAAATTTTATTGATATAATTATTATGACTATTTAACATAATTAAAATTACAATTTCATATAATGTCATAGTTCAAAATATAGTCAATTCATATAAAATTATTATCATAGGCTTAAAATAATACAAACAATTTGGATTATTATTATTTATTCAGCAATAGCTAACAAATGAATTGAGCTCGATGCTAATAACTCATTGAGATATTAGTTATTAATGTTGACATTGGCCGCCAGGTGCCCGCCATCGGCCACAATCGCCGTACCCGTTATGAATGAGCTATAATTAGATGCCAAATATAGTACAGCATTAGCGATATCATTGGGCACTCCATACCGGCCCACAGGGTATAATTTGGCGTAACACTCGCTGTTATAAATATCGGGCAAATTGTCTGTACTCTCTAATAGATTGCCTGTTTCTATGGCACCTGGACTGTAAAATATAATCGTGTTAATTTTAACAATTATTATTAGTTAATTTTTACTAAACACATACTTAACACTATTCACACGTATGCCTTTGGGTCCCAACTCTGCGGCAATACATTTTGTAAACATATCCAACGCTGACTTTGACATACAATATGATGAAAATTGATTTAACTATATATTGATAATTAGAACAAATGTAAGTTGATTAATAAATTAATTGATAATTTAAATAATTATTTAAATACCGTTTGAAAGCTGTTAATACTCGATATATTAATGATATTTCCTTTAGTTTTCTCCAAATGTTTGACACAAATATGGGTTAAGAAAACAACGGAATTTAAGTTCATGTTTAGCACTCGTCGATAGCTTTGCATATAATCCGTGTCCACGAAAGACATCGATTCATCGGTTCCCGCGTTATTGACCAAAATATCTATTTTACCAAAAGTAATGATAGTTGTGTCGACCAATCGTTGAAGATCCTCATCACTGGTCACGTCTGCCACCACTTCCAGCGCTTTCAAGCCATCGGGCGATACGTCGAGACACTGTTTGGCCACTTCTGACACTCGCCCGGCGTTACGTCCCGTCACCACAACATTGGCTCCCG